GGTTAATGTAAGGGCTATGTGGTGGTATCTTTCAAAAGATGTTTACTGAATAGAGAGTTTTTTGTTATATTTGAGTTCACCTTACTATACATATTTCCTAATTTACATTTTCACATCAGTGAACCAAACTATCTTGACGTTAAGTAATAAGTACACTTTTAACCCTGTGGATCCATACATTTTTCATTTCTTAAAAGATGGTGCTATGTCTATCTATAGCTAACAAATAAGTTTCTTACAAATTTGAAATGTTGCTCAAATGATTTTCTTTTTGAAAATATGGCAGAAATGTTCACTACTTTATCACTGAAAAGGTATGTGCTTAATTTAGGAAACCATGATGGCAACTTGGTTTAAAGCACTATTTGTATAAATTGGAAACAAAAAAATGTTATTCTGAGATGAATGCATTAGACCTGGTCAATCAGCATGGACAGTACTCAATTGATCCAGATTATTCCAAATGAATCTATGTTGTACACTGCATAAAGTTAGGACTTGAATTATTTATTTAGTTGGTATGTCTAAGGGGAACACAAAAAAAACTTTCACAAAGCAACAAGCCTTATTAGCCTTGTTCTGTTATATATTTATTGAAAAAAAGAAATAAATCAAAATAAACAGGTAATTCTTTCGTTCAGTTTATATATCGACCTATGCAACCACTTTATTCAATGTTATTACGATAAAAAGTGCACCCAAAAAGACACAGGAGTTTTCGTGAATATTGTGCAGGAATGACAAAAAGGTTGTCTGGAATGAACCTTTATCTTCATATCTTCAATAATAGTTGCCAATGTGTGAAGCCCATTTCTGATGTCCCCCACCATGCTATTACTACAATATTGATAATGGAAATAGTGGCAGAGTAAAATCCAACACACTCACTCACTCACCCACCCTACCACTCACTCACTCACCCACTCACTCACTCACTCACTCACTCACTCATACTTCCCACCCACCCACCCACCATAATACTTGCAATATGATAGAACGTAAAGTTTTAAAATTGAATCCATGGCCATACAAGAACCCTAAAACTATGCAAGCAAAGTCAAAGTTACAGGCCATTTCACACAACATAAATAACCGTTTACACTGACATGGTTAAAATTGGTTCAGAAATCTGTGAGACAGCTTTCCAACAGAAAATGTGTCAGCACTTGGTCAGATGGCGTAACATACACAATTATGATGCCATGAATTCCAACAGAAAAGACATATGCAGTATATATTGAATGTGCACATCAATACACAAATAAATGGCTCAGTAATGTGCCAAAATTAAATGTCAGTATGACAGTCAAGTAAAGAATTGGATCAGAATTTTGTGGGCATGTTTCAAAGACGCTATTCCTTGGATCATATACACCAAATATGAACTTCCTAAATCCAGTGAATTCAGATATGTCAAAAATGGAGCCAAACTACATGTATGATAGGACAGTAGAAGGTCACAAAAGTTTGATCAAATACCATAATATGGTAAGTAACATGTGGTACAATTACTGACTACATTCTAGATTTAACAATAGTTCAAGCAGAATCAAGGCATGGACAAAAATGACAAATTCAATATGGACGTTGTGGCATCGATGTTCAAAATTGGATCAGAACTCTCTTTTTTGAAACACTGTTGTAGGAATGTCATATTCAAAATGTCGGATTTATTATTATCGATTATCCAGTGATTCATATCTCATTTCTATGATGATAAATACCATGGACCCATTTGCTACTGAGTTCAATTTGAATGACACAATACTGAAATTAGCTGTCCAATCTAACTGCATTCATACAGGATAGAAATTATGTGTGAAGTCACTGATAAGAGAAATGAACATAATCACTTCACTTTCCTATATGGTGGTGAGGTGAGGTGAAATGGGGTTTAACGTCGCGTCCAAGATTATTGCACTTATATAGCGACGTGCATGCACGTGTGTGTGTGTGTGTGTGTGTGTGTGTGTGTGTGTGTGTGTGTGTGTGTGTGTGTGTGTGTGTGTGTGTGTGTGTGTGTGTGTGTGTGTGTGTGGCGGATTGTACTAGTCCGGACTGATGCCGATTTATAGTGCTAGCTCACTGAGATACCATACCGCAGTTTAACATGAATACCCGACTCAGACACAGTATATTGACTCCGAGCCGACCAGTCCTTGTTTTAGCCTTAATGCCGAGCGCCAGACAGGGTAACAACAACTTTCCTAAATGGAGTTAGATAGCGAATATACATTGTAAGTTGTATTTATCTTATTGACATGTTTTAATATGACATTGTAAAAGAATTCAAACAAAAGCAAAATTGATAGAAAACAGCTGTTTGATTAAGCTGAGGTTAACTTGCTCTATATCATGCGACTTTCATTGACTCAGAAAAAGCGAGCGCCTTTTTGCTTTGAAACAGGGTATAAGGGATTTATTCTGCCTCTCAGAAATCCACATGCAGTATTTCCCTCCAAGGATACATTTATATCAAGATGGAAGTATTTTATCAAGATCACATGGACCAATCAGATTTCAGCATTCTTGCATGGAGGTATGATAAGCATATTTATCTAAATACAACAGAGATGTAATACACTAGATAAGTGTGTATGTACATTTAAAGGCTAAAATAACTACAAACACTTACTCTTGTAAGGTAACTACACATACATGCTGCATATAAAATTTCACAATAATACATGCAGACATGGCTAGACATATAGCCCCATTAGAACAAAATGACAGTTGTATTACGTCTACAATGAAGATGTTTAGAAATGGACACATAACAATAACGATGTTCCTGTGAAAAGTTTTAGTATCAAAGTTGTTGTTTCAGAGAAGATGTTGAAAATGTAAACGTTTAAGATGGACAATGATGGCCATGATTATAGCTTACTTGAACTTTCAGCTTTAAGCGAGCAACAACATAACGGCTGATGTGTGAATGGTATATGCATCTGGATATATTGATGCCAAATTTTTGGCATTATACATAGCACAATATCAACACAAAAACAACTCAATCTCTTACTTCTACAAACATGATCATGTTTGCATTGTGAAATGATATCCCACTCGCACAGATTAACTTGACCATTGTCTGTGTACATTGTAGGCAAAATATCTCCATTTGAAAACCTTGGTCAAGTCATCATAATGGTTATAGATGATCTGTCCATTCTGCAGTAAATCATGTCAGGACTTTCGGTTCATATATGAGGTGAGGTGAGATGGGTCATGTTCAAGATTATTGCACTTACATGGCGACGTACATGCATATGTGTATGTGGCTGCTTGTCCCAGCCCTGACTAATACCGGTTTTACTAATACGTCACAATTTAACATGGATATTCCAAATAGATTTCAAAATGCATTTCCTGATTCTTTTTAATCTGAGAACCTTTCTTGTTAATTCAAGTCTTAATTCAGTTTCATTAAAGAGTACAAGGAGAATGATATTTTGCAGCTTTTGATCTTTAGAACTGTGAAAATACCTTGAGTGGATGGACTAGTGCTGCATCATCTGATATAGTTCTCAATAGATGCAAGGTATATGACCAAACATTACTGAAACAACTCTTAGACTGACACACTTAAGAATAATATAATGGCAAGACAGTTTAATTAGTGAACCAATACCTTATTCAACGTACATATATATTTGTACATGACATTTTGAAGTGATGAACTGCACCTTTGCAATTCAAGCACTACCATTTACACTATAAATGATTTATGTCACCCAAGAAAGAATTCAGTTTACTTCAGAATCTTATCCCGTTGTTCAATATTGTACATGGCTGTTCATATGTCACTTCATCATACCTGCATGATCAATCTACCTCTCTCACAGTCTGTGTAAGTTGCAAAACAAACAAATATTTTTACATACTGAACAAAATAAGTTTGGGATCATGAATATTTTTTAGATTTTTTTTATGAAATTGTGCTGTCTTCAATATTAATATCCCCATAAATATTCATGATTCCTTGACTTTTTTGTTCAGAATATGAAACAAACTTTCATAATATCCCTTAATTCCTTCAAACCTCATCGATAACCATAACTGATATTTTATACACCACAATTTTAAAACAATCACTCAACTACAAAAACAACCCACTGAATGTTAAATCTTCAACCTTATAGATTCACCATGTACCACGATTAACCTTGAATCTGGTATTCACAGTGATCACTACATGTCAAAACATGGTTCATAACTATCTATAGAATACCATGATAGACAATATTTCAAGCATGTATCAGAATTGTATTTCCCTAAGACACGGCTAAAGCCAGTAGGAAATATGTCAACACAAACTAGCCACATTTGCACATAAGTGGTTGCAGTCAGTCAGCTCATTCATTAGAGCAGGGACCAGATGTCAAATAAATAGGACTAAAGTGAAACGAAAAGCTGCAAGGTACATTTCATTCTGTGTTGATACGCATCATTTCACAAGTCAATTTAACTATCAGTACCGGTATTAGATAAGTCTGTAAAGTTGCACTCAAGATTTTGTCCTTCAGGAATATTTTATAGTTTTGAGTCTGATTATATATTGGTATTGTCATAAAATAACATGGACTGACATAGCATAGTGATTGTGACTTTTGGAGGATATCAACACTTCTCTTTCTCATGTTTCATCCATCTTAGAATACATTCTTGCAATCAATACTACTCTGAAACAGTGTATTGTGATATGTGTCATGTTGTGAAAACAAACTCAAAGCATTACAATACATGCCATATAATGACTTCATTGTATTATTCCTGGCATATTACAGTGACATATAAAACAATGTCATGAGGATGCCATTCTCAAATTGCTCATACAAAAAACATCTACTGTCATCTTTAAAAATTATTAAGTGCTTTTCATATCTTTAAAGAGTAAAGTTCACATAAAGGCTTAAATTAGCAAACCCTGATATGTGATGGATGAATAATCAGTCAGCATAGCATATCATACACTTGTTAAAACAAATTTTGAATCTTACCTTCAAGCAGTTCCTTATTCAAAGGTAATAATCCTCATCCAATATGCAGTAAATCCTTCTGAAGCAGAACGGTTCAAGCAAGGAAGAGAGAGGGAGAACGAACCCCATCGCTGCCACCAAACTACTAATCTGAAAGTCAGAAGGAGTGCAGCTATCAGTGGCGGGTATTCATCAGTCATATGATGCCATGATATTTACCATCAATAAAGCCTCAGCCCAGGCTGGTGAGAGATGGAGCTGGGACAGTGCAGAGCAGGTTTCCTAACACGGGGATTTTAGCTTGCCTTAACATCTGCCTGCATGGCAAGGGGAATCAATTATCCCACCTGGTAAGGGGTGGGGACCATGCTGGGCAGGGTTAAACAGCGCAGTGCTCTTGGTCATTACTAGCCTGATAATCAGAGGAACCATAAGGTGGGTATATGGTCATGGCAAGTGTGAACCGCTCGAGTTTGAGCAAATCACAAGGTTCTATGAAATATGAAGTAATTAGTTTCCCAGGCATGATTTCCCATTCTATTTCTACCAGAAGACCAACTGATACGTGGCTGAACATATATAAGCAAGTGATAACCGTGACCTCTAGGAGTATGGCAGGTATGAGCACCCCGACATGGTGTTTACAGTAGATTGAGAATACTTCTATATCAGGATTTCAGATGAATTAAGAAACATGCAAGTGTACGATAAATACAGAAACTAACCCAATTCAGATGGGAAGTGACCTTTTATTGGATATTATTTTGATATTTCATTTTTTCAACATTTCTGCAACACTGAAAAAGCCGTTATGTTTCTTCAAAACAGAAGCATAGAAAGCAGTTTGAGCTGTCTATGACAGAACGTGTGAACACCGAACAATAAACATTTCCACCTTCAATCAAGGTGAATGTGTAGGTAATTTCTCATGAAAATGATAAATAATATTCTCTTGAAACCTTTAGAAGTTCTGTTGTATAAGAGTAATGATTACAACATATATGAATACAACATCTTCCCCTTATGTTTAAACAGTTTGTTTCTCAAAAGTTTAAAAAAAGAAATTCTGTCAATAACACCAACAGTTGTTTAAGTCTTACTTGATGGGGTCATGTATTTGATATCAGCAATCTTAAGAAATGTGTTGTAACTGCCAGGATTAGTGTTTAATGACTGTTTGTCTGACGTATTACAATGTTATTCTTACCCCCTAAGTCCTGTACAGTCATCAAATCTTTAGTAAACAGACACTAGTCCCAGCGTACATCTGAGATACAGAATACTGCTGGTCATAGGCAAAGAGAGATTACAGGTTTCCACATTCTCATCTACATATCTAGGAAATATCTATAGTTTATAGAGTGGATGCTGTCCTTCTGGCTCTCTGATTTACATTAATTCTATCACAAGATATGCGCTCCAGATTCCATTCTCAATGAACACAAAGAAATTCTCCCCTCTCATTCTTATCTCACCCCTGACATGGATTACACAAGCTTACACAGTACCATTCACAATACAGTGCCAGTAATGGACCAATTGGACTGAGTACACAAAACTAATTGTGATAACATTCCAAACAACTTTACAGATTAAAGGATTCATAATGCCAACCACTATGATCTTGCTGGAACATTGTTGGTGAACCATTTATTAAACATTCACTCACCCACTCACTTACTGACAAACATTCATACACAGATGTCACCTCGTTTTAAATTAGGTGTCATTCTAAAGAAAACGAAGATTTTTGTGTGTTCTAAAATGCTCATTAAAAGTTTCATATTTGTAGTTTCTTTTCTGTGTAAGTGTTGTACACGATAGTAGAGCTCTATTTTTCTCACAAACAAAATAAAATCACATTACTGTCAAGACTGTCATTTTGTTAATACATCATTGGAGAAATAATGGTAATCTAGGCGTAAGGATCTTCAGAGAAGCTGTGTCACTTTTGTAAAGTTCACTTTGTTATACACTCAGATCTTGTACCAAATAAATTAATCTATTTACGTGAAATAAGTGTTTTCACAACACATTCCTAATTACGAAACACTACAAGTTACTTTGGAGTGTTGAAAGGTCATATAATTATTCATTCTTGTCACTGGTAAGAGCATGTGAATGTTAGGGTTTGTGTGATGGTGTGGATTTCTGTTGTGTCTGTATGTGTGTTGTTTGGGTATGTGTGTTGTTTGGGTATGTGTGTTGTTTGGGTATGTGTGATGTGTTGGGTATGTGTGATGTGTGGGGTATGTGTGATGTGTAGGCTATGTGTGATGTGTAGGGTATGTCATGGTGATGTAGGGTATGTGTGATGTGTAGGGTATGTCATGGTGATGTAGGGTATGTGTGATGTGTAGGGTATGTCATGGTGATGTAGGGTATGTGTGATGTGTAGGGTATGTCATGGTGATGTAGGGTATGTGTGATGTGTAGGGTATGTCATGGTGATGTAGGGTATGTGTGATGTGTAGGGTATGTCATGGTGATGTAGGGTATGTGTGATGTGTAGGGTATGTCATGGTGATGTATGGTATGTGTGATGTGTACGGTATGTCATGGTGATGTAGGCTATGTGTGATGTGTAGGGTATGTCATGGTGATGTATGGTATGTGTGATGTGTAGGGTATGTCATGGTGATGTAGGGTATGTGTGATGTGTAGGGTATGTCATGGTGATGTAGGGTATGTGTGATGTGTAGTGTATGTCATGGTGATGTAGGCTATGTGTGATGTGTAGGGTATGTCATGGTGATGTATGGTATGTGTGATGTGTAGGGTATGTCATGGTGATGTAGGCTATGTGTGATGTGTAGGGTATGTCATGGTGATGTAGGGTATGTGTGATGTGTAGGGTATGTCATGGTGATGTAGGCTATGTGTGATGTGTAGGGTATGTCATGGTGATGTAGGGTATGTGTGATGTGTAGGGTATGTCATGGTGATGTATGGTATGTGTGATGTGTAGGGTATGTCATGGTGATGTAGGCTATGTGTGATGTGTAGGGTATGTCATGGTGATGTATGGTATGTGTGATGTGTAGGGTATGTCATGGTGATGTAGGGTATGTGTGATGTGTAGGGTATGTCATGGTGATGTATGGTATGTGTGATGTGTAGGGTATGTCATGGTGATGTGTTGGGTATGTGTGATGTGTAGGGTATGTCATGGTGATGTAGGCTATGTGTGATGTGTAGGGTATGTCATGGTGATGTATGGTATGTGTGATGTGTAGGGTATGTCATGGTGATGTATGGTATGTGTGATGTGTAGGGTATGTCATGGTGATGTATGGTATGTGTGATGTGTAGGGTATGTCATGGTGATGTAGGGTATGTGTGATGTGTAGGGTATGTCATGGTGATGTATGGTATGTGTGATTTGTAGGGTATGTGTGATGTAGGCTATGTGTGATGTGTAGTGTATGTCATGGTGATGTAGGGTATGTGTGATGTGTAGGGTATGTCATGATGATGTATGGTATGTGTGATGTGTAGGGTATGTCATGGTGATGTATGGTATGTGTGATGTGTAGGGTATGTCATGGTGATGTAGGCTATGTGTGATGTGTAGTGTATGTCATGGTGATGTATGGTATGTGTGATTTGTAGGGTATGTCATGATGATGTATGGTATGTGTGATGTGTAGGGTATGTCATGGTGATGTATGGTATGTGTGATGTGTAGGGTATGTCATGGTGATGTATGGTATGTGTGATGTGTACTGACTGACTGAGTATTGTTTTACGCCGCTTTTTGCAATATTCCAGCAATATCACGGCGGGGGACAACAGAAATGGGCTTCACACATTGTACCCATGTCGGGAATCGAACCCGGGTCTTCGGCGTGACGAGCGATCGCTTTAACCACTAGGCTACCCGACCGCCCTGTGATGTGTAGGGTATGACATGGTGATGTAGGCTATGTGTGATGTTGGTTATGTCATGGTGATGTATGGTATGTGCGGGGCATGTGTGACGGTTTGGGTATGTGAAAATTGGGCCAATGACTCCATAGCTCACCTCACGATTCCATAGCTCACCTCACATTTACAAAGTAGTCATATCCTTATTGTAAGGGTAAAAAGTTTAAGGCCATGTGAGCTAAAACTTGACAATATGATTTAAGGACACATCAATAATAACTCCAAATGACAAATGCTTTAAGGAACAATATCTTCCTGATGAGTCAACACCGATATCATTCATCCACGACCCATCCCTGCACCTCAGTTCTCGAACATACTAATTCATGCAGTTCATAAAATCATCGCAATTAAAGGATAATTGTGATTGCTAGTTTCCTTCCTTAATCAATTCCATTTCAGCTGGCAGTGTGGACACTGCACGTGTTAAATGACATGCATGGCCTCTCCGTCTCTACAGGCACATGTGACCAATACGTGATGGGGAGAAACACAAGATTGGTTTGTTTTCCTTGCATTATTTCTTTTAGCTTGAATGAAAGGGCAATAACCTTAACCAGCACTAGAGATGGATTTCATGGGGTTAAAGTGGGATTCTATTGTCAAAGCGGCGATGCGCAAAGTTTGAATTACCTGCTATGACGAGCCACAGCATCTGAATCATCCCAGAACTATCCTTAGTTAATTGAAAGACTTTTTTTTTTCATAACATTTTCTTAAACATTTGGAAAGGTGGTATCACTCCTACAGATTATCCCAAGAAGGCAAAGAAAACGGGAAATGTTTCAACCAATCAGCAAGAATTTATGCATAAAAAGTGAGTTCATTTCACAAACTGAGGAAAATCAAACAATGTCTGCTGTACTTAATATTCTGCAGATTCCAAGTAGGCATGTCAGCTGTTGCTATCAAGTCCATAAGCATGGTCTGTGACACTGAAACTATGTCACCAGACATGCATACCACTATGTTTTATTGAATGTATCTTCAGAGAATGGATAGTTAGATTTATAGATTTTAATCGATAAATCATTAATGAATTCTGTTATCATTTGGTGTCAGTTGTATTGACATGTTTTTCTATGTAAGAACAACCATATGCTGAAGAAAAAATCCCTTAATACTGTGAAGGATGTTACTGAGAAGGATATTATTATTATTATCATCATCACCATTATTATTATTAAAAAATAGTCTATTAATATGGCACTGTACTCCATGCA